GGAAACCTAGACATCAAATTGCTGGTTTTTTTTTTGGTTGTCACATGCTTTGCCAAGCTTCTATGTGAGTGAGTAGTTGTACTAAACTAATACATACTTGGCTGTGTACTTGTATTGCAAATCACCAATTTGAACTGCCTTTCTGTTTAAAAATCCCTGCCATTACCCGCCACTTTGTGAGAAAGCAACCCGCAACAAAAAGCACACAGGTTGCGGGCTTGTGGGCTCCAAAAGTAGGACATATATATATATATATATATATATATATAATATACTATATACTATATATATTAAAGGGCCCGTAAATGTTCTATAATAAGGATCTTATTTGATCCCACGAGAGTTCGTTTTTTAACCTTCTACGAGCCCCATGGGCGCCAAAAACTGCTAAAAAGTAATGGGGCACTCAGCCAGAGGGAGCCAACACCATCACCACCTCTGTGGGGGGGGGGGGACATTACCCCAGATGCTCTGGGTTACGTTTACTTGCTCACCTGTTTACTTTTTAGATGATCTGGTACAAAAGTTAATGATAGCAGGGCAGCTTTCAGTCCAGACTTCCTATATTGCCAGCATTACTACATTGGCAGCAAGTTGTGGAAATGTACTAAATCGGGGCACATTTGAGCCCTTTCAAAATTAAGTTTAAACGATCTTGTAAGGGATTAATTTTTGGGCCCAGAAAGGTGCGAAGCTGTGCTTCCAGTACATGCTCCTACCTCACCACTCGCACGTGGATTTCCGGGTCAACGGCATAATTTGTTATATACCTGCCCGTGCTGCAATAGTTGACATAGGTTCGTCTTTGCCCTCTGACGGTCACGTGACCTTTGGCACAACCGCTTGCCGCCATCTGTGCACCGTACTAGTCAGGGCAAAAAGTAGCGTGTAAGGCGACTCGAGCTCATCCAGCCACGGGTGGGTGAATTCGAATCTAGGCGCCCCAACTTACCACCTGAGCCAGATAGAGGAACAGACTCTTTTCTGATTTTTTTTTTTTTTTGCTATACCGCCCCCGTACCACCAAAGGATTCATCCAGCCCAGCCGGCCTGGGTCTACCCGAAGCGTGAAGATCTGAATTTCTGTCCAGTTCCAACAGTCAGCTAACGCGCTCGTTCTGTCCGTTTCGTTCGACCTTCAACACAAGCGCGCACCCAGGGTGTTCGGGAGGGGTCGGCCTCGAACCTTCGCAGCGGGGCCAAAGGTTTCTGTGGACACCATTCGAAGTCCCATCTAACTTGGTTGACCGCTTAGAGACGAAGCCCAGAGCACACTGGACTGCTGTGGGAAAAAAAGTTATTTGCATCTTGCTATTGGCGGTTGTGCATTCATACTCATCCGCAGCTTGTAGTGCGAGGGGGCTGTAGTGAAGGTAGTGTTGTAGTGCATTGGGAGCCCCTAGTGCCCCCGATCGGGTGAGCCACTGGTTCGGCCCAATACTGGATTGCAACGATGGAGGATACCAGTGGCGTATGCTTGCAGAGGCTGCTGCAGTCGTTCACACCGGGGAAGAACTAGAGCCTGTCGTTCAAAGCGGTGAAGGAACTCCATGGCTTTGCTCGAAGCGCTCTGTTGTTCGAAAGGACCGAGAAGCAAGGAATGACGACGAAGGAACAGAACACATTCCGCTTTAACAAGCATTTATTTTCACGCACTTATCTCCGGCGAAATGTGATATACGATTCGGAATCATGATTGGTCAAAAATAATATCAACATTAATGACAACAAGCTGGCGAAATGCTCCTTTTACAAATGATAGCTCTGTAATCTTATCTGCGAATGGAACAGTCTGCACACAGATCACGCATCAGCCACTCGATCTGGGTGTTGGCAGCAAAACATGAAGATATAAACTGTGGCAAACATATGAACGCGGTTGTACGTGTCAAAGCGATAGTTATGGTCCTGTACAAGCTTGGGGTGCGTCCCCTCACACCTCTTACTACACCAACTTCCTGCGAAGTCTCCCCCCCCCCCCCCCTCACCTCGAGCGACATTGAACTAATTTGTTTGGCGAAGCTATACCAGCTACATCTGTGCATGACAGTCATAATACAGAACTGTAAGAAGACAAATAGGGGCCATAAAGAAGCACATGCCATCTCAACACACATGCACTATTCTTGAAATCAAAACGAGTCAGTCTTGGTCATTTCAGCGCGCCATCCGCGCAACCATGTCACCCGTGTTCCTTTCCGTGGTCCACATGATCAATATTGATAACTGATCATTGATCAATCATGATCATGATCATAATCCTTATTTCAATGACACGAAGTAAAGATATCGCGCTCAACATCCGTGGTGTATATCAGGCTCTACAATAGATGGCAACACATCAGACCCAACATTGCGTCACTAAACACACGCCAGGACTCTGGCAGACATCACCGTTTGTTCTCGCGGATTTCATCCCACACGCTCTTCAGGGTCGAGTGACCTTGCCTACAATCATGCTGAATGTAACTGGAGCCCCAAACGCTGCGCTGGTGATTCGATGGTTCATTGTGCTTGATCCTGAAACGTGACAAGGCGAGTCATAACGCTAATATTGATGCGAATGTTCGCCCAAAACACTTATCTTAATCTACTTATCACGCACTTACCGTAATATACTCACCACCGCACCAATCTCTGTGCAAATTGTAATCACAATACTAGTTTTAATCTACGAATCACAACAATAGCCGTAGAGAATAACCAAGCTGTTTTTCATCACCTGAACACTGGCATGATACACACGTCAACCTATTATATACTATCTATATATTTCGGCGCCTGGAATGACCTTATTTTTGGTGGCAACTTCTACAGAACATCGCCAGCCGGAGACCAAGAGCTTGAATACAGAAACCATCACACGCATTTTAAAAAAATCGGCATGTTGTGTCAACAGGTATGGCAGGCAGCACTCACTGCGTTTTGCAACGTCTCGACTGGTAAATAAGAAACACAAATGAAACCTTACTTTGCACACAGATTGCTTCCTTGAGTAGCGTTTGATCGGATATTCACCAGCCATGGCTTGTTCCGAAGACTGCCCCCCCCCCCTCCCGACCACCCCTACCCCTTCTGGGGTTCTGCGTCGGCACGGCCACACAGAGTCTCTCACTGCCCACTACCGCAAACACACAATAAAGCGTCCACTACATCCAACGCAGACGCACGATGCAACGCCTGCCGTACCTACCGCAGGAACTCCATGTGTGCGCATGTGCACCCGCAGGTTGCCTCTGGTGCTGTAGACCCGGCCGCAAATCGTGCAGCGCGTGTCCCCGCGATGCATGGCCTTGTGGTGCGAGAGGCTTGAGCCGCGTCTGAACATCCCGCCGCACACAGGGCAAGGTCGCAAGTCACGGGTTCCAGGAGACCGCCGCGCGTCTGACGTCATCAGCCGCCGCGAGTCTGACGTCAGCAGCGGCACCGGCAGCGGAGGTCGCGGCTGCCAAACGCTGATGCCTGAAAACAGCGGAAGCGGGAGGTGTGAGCTTTGAGCTAGTCTAACCTTCATGCGCAATCCAATTTGTCAGGAAGAAGGAAAGCGCACGCTGCACGTGTGCGCGAACGGTACCAATAAAAGGGAATGTTCCACATGTGAAGATACTACAGCAAGCATCAGATCCGACAAAATAAGTTCACTTATAACCAGTGGTATATTTTAAGTGAAAAATACTGCTCTACAAGACACAATTTCTCTGTTAAGTAAATACGCTCCTTAAAATGTCATTGCTTGATTACGTCATCGTACCTGGCACAACACGGATTAAGAGCCAATTGACGGCTCTCGTATCTGGAAATCGTGTTCACGAACGCCAGATATGAACGCTTCGACAATTCTGTTTTGGCTTTGATCGCCGCAGGGCTAATGGATTGGTAGGATTTGAATGATGCTGTATGGCGTCGTGGATACCTCAGTGCCCTTGAAATAGTCTCCCCGACATAGCCTGCACGTCTTCGTGGGCATGCAGCTCAGAAACCAGCGGGGTTTAGGTCTTAAGAAGGGCACGGCTGTGGAACAGCACAGAATGATCTTCAATACGGTTATTTCAAGCAATCCACATAAATGTGGAGCAGCTCTTTGAGGACGCACGCTAAACTCACGACCAAAACAGCTCCTGCTTCAAGGACTTGTATTTTTCATTTATATTTATTTGCATCTCATTTGGCGAGTTCTTAGTTCTGTCTCATGCCTTCGGAGTCCTCTTTATCTCTGGACATCGGGTACAGCCGGATCCGGCTGCCACCTAAAGGCCAGGAAGGGTATTCGTTGCTTCTCCCGCTACGTTTTTGGGGGTTCGCTGACCCTGCATTCTCACTGTTTTGGCGTCCCATGTGTGCACTAGCCAGATGTCGCCCAACTTAACGCAGTAATTCTCATCACACCATCTGTAAATGCCACGCCGTGCAGTTCAAATGCCAGCGCAGTGTCATCATACGCTCCAAACTTAACACCGGTGTCGTCACATACATTTATTAAGTTGAGATGTGCACCGGGAGCGACTACAATCCATCCTTCCTGAGCACAACTTGGTCACCCGTCACGGCGAAGGCTGTCAGGCATTACCAGTGCGACCAAGTATTCTTCTCCCCTGCGACACCGTCCTACAGCACTGCGCGTGAGGCAGGGTCCAGACCAAAGATGCCGTCTTTCACTTCAGATCTCTCTCATGGCACAGGAGAGGGCCTCTGTCTCGTCTAACAACACAAGAGCGCCCATGGCCATCGCATCACCTTCCAGCCATCACACTGTCGTATCCGAGCAAACAGATGGTCACCAAAAGGCCTCATTGCCGGCGTGACAGCGCATGCAGTACGTCAGCTCGCGGATTCATCTACACTGAGTCAATGAGCTGAACAGGAAGCAAGACGACGACCACCGAGATGCCCACAAAGCTGATAGGCAAGAACAGAGGCGGAACATCCGTTGTCGGGATTTAGTTTTCTTTTCAGAAAAAGGCTGAAGTCACCCGCCCCCCCCCCCCCCACACACCCTTAAGAAAGCTGGCTAAATCTAGGAAGAAACAATATTACTGGCATATTTTGGAGAAGTTCTGGTCATTTTTTTTCACTGATCAGCCACTAACTTAGTTTGCAAAACAACGCCCCTGATCCGTTGCTTACACCATTTGCGAAAACTCGCATCTCTAACAAACTAAACAGATGCTCATTTGACTCAGCTAAGCTGTTTGTCAGAAAGGGCCAAACGATTCGTACGCAGTGCGTTAGTCCCTTGACCAATGCCTAAACATTTACTCAGGCCTGCGCGGCCAGATGCTGAAGAGATATGCCTGTCTTCAAGGCGCGCCAATGCATTTCGAATAAGCAATCAGCCAAAGTGGTGCGCGAGGGTCGTGCTCTGCCTTAGCAAGCTGCACTGAGAGGTCAGTGCCATGATAGCGCAAACATGCATAAACACGGCGGAGTTCCTACAGACATGGCCCTCAAGACAATACATGGGGGCACCGATGGCATACGTCCAAAAGTCGCCCACTTTCTACGCATGACTAGGTACGTAGTTTGACGGAAAGCAAAGCGAAGCTGATCTACGGTCTTTTCCGAAACACGTTAACGCGGGGTGCGATCACATAAGTCATTGCATCACCACAAAGCCTAACTTTGCGAGTGACTTAGATTCATAGTGGTGCCAGGTGGTTCACATTCGAGAGTTCATTGGTCGTCAAACTGGATGACTTCTGACGAGTTGTCTGATGAATCCACTCCTCGCACGATGAGGAGTTCACTGACGTCCGACTGGCACGCCTCCGACTTGACAGATTCCACAGCTAGCTGAATGTTCGCGGCTTCAGTGCCCTCCAGCTGCTGAGTTGGCGTGGAGTTGCTAGATGGCGCGTGTCGCTGCAGTCCGAGGGCCCTCCACGAAGAGTTGATCTTAAAACGCACGTTCTTGAACTTGCACCGGAGTTTTTGCGTTACGAACGTCTACGAAATATGATCCGGCGATTACACGCAGTTCCCAAACCAGTGAATAGCAATGGCAATATCCCAAAATCCTGTCTAGAACGGTAGTGAACGAACGCCCAAACACGGGCGCCCAGGATTAATTAATAGGAGCAATGAAGCTTATGTTCACCAGCACGATGTCCATCATAGCATTCAGCTCGCTCAGAAGACATAAGGATCAGTCGTAAAACCTCAACACCGACGTCGTCCAGAGTTAACATGCTTCCTAAACTACATGCTATAATCGGGTGCGGATGCCTACCAGGCCTTGGAACGTTGTCATGCCCTCAAACAGATGAGGATACTCATCCATCACTCGGGCACTCATCTCGTGATACCATCGCTTCGGGTTCGCGGGCCGCCTGGAAAGGGGGGTGAAAACTTGTTAGGATACCGGAAAAGCAGGCATGACCCATGCCAGTGATATTATAACGCTATGTGAGAACCACACCGCGTTTTTGATAAAATAGAATGTCATATATCCTTGCGTGGTAACGGTATCGGTCCATAAGCACTTTTCAGACACTGACTTTCGCGCTGTTCCGGGAAAACCGCAGGTGGTTAAATCCGGTGCCATGCTCAAACTCCTGGCTTAATGTCTGCTGCTGGAAACACCGTGCGACCGCGTTTCTAATCCGTGTAGCGAACCTTGTGACGTCAATGGGCACACGTGTCGAAGAGAAGACACCTCAAACCAATGTTTTCCACAGACGTGTTGGGTGCTTTGTGGCCGGACCGTCATCGTGTCCTCGGTCCGACATAATCAGTACACAAGGCGAACAATCGCCCGAGACGCACTGGGAAGTGGCCGAGAAGTATTGGTTGAAGATGGCGGACACCAGGTTGTTCCAGTCGCGCTGCTGGAACGGCATTCGATGCCGCAGCTTGCGCTGTATGACGTCATTGAACCAGTTGATGTTGAGGTCGACGCGCCTGCGCAGAAGAGCCGGACGCGGGCTTGTCATAAAAAAGACGCATCACCACTATGGGCCATCACCAATCTATAAGCTATAGGAACTTCACAGAACAACATGGGCTCAAACCGATTGACGATCCTTGGACATACCCTGAGGATCTATTCGTCACAGCTGCTGCATGTGACGGACACGTTATGAGTGACACTGAGTAGCAAACGCAACAGGTAGTTATCTGTCCGTTATACCCAAAGAAAAAGTATTCTGGATGAACCAAAAATATCTAAGGCCCCCTAGCATCCGCGTTTGCTGACGTCCGCAGTGTAAAATTTCGCGATAAGTTGAGAGGTTTCTCAATCTGGAAATCGTAGGCATTGGTGGACAGGATTCGACACAAGGCTATTTCGCCAAATTTGCGACTCCTGCAACTCGCACTGAAACCCACCACCTGACTCACGCGTATGTGGGTCCGCCCCTGCCGAAGTGGCGAAGAGGTCATGTACTGAGTACGCTTCCCCTACGTTCAAAATTCTGCATCTCAACATTACAATTTTCCCCAACACCCACTCCGATTTGTCGTAAGTACATCTTGCACAGGGAGTCAACCAAATAGCGAGTCAAACAAATAAATGGAGCATGGTGATGTTGACGGAACATACCAGTAAGCGCTCTTTCTTCTTCCTCTTGGTACCTTGATAGTGCGGTTAATCTGTGGGTGCAGACAGGATGCCACACGAAAGCATGGCATTATTGATGACCTCATTTATCGCATTGGATATAATTACACAAACACCGCAAATAAAAATATACCCTTCTACGTCGTAACGGTGATCAAGTTGACCCAAGCAATAGTCTGCAATTCATTGTAGAAAGAGGCGACTAAGCGACGCGGTACAACTTAAGCAACTGCATCTACCAATCCACAAAGGTGAAGCGAAAACAAATCCTTTACGCAAGTCGGTACTACACACACTTTTGTAAGTCGGCTCCGTTGAAATCCCGTCAAATTCCATATTCAATCCCGTCACATTCCATTCATATTCCCAACCCCGATACCTATCCTGGGAGTATGGACGTCTGCGGAATACCGCCGTCGCAGGACCCGGTCCGGGGGCCGACTGGGAGCACCGTCCACACGGCAGGCAGGCACCGCCAGTGGGGGCGCCCAGGAGGAGAGGGCGGCCGGGGCGTGGCCTGCAACTGATCCGATGATCAGAAAGAGTGGATGGAAGGGGACTGACGACGACGGAAACGCGGTGTATCGGCCGATGGTGAGCTCACATGGTTGTTATCCTCCTGGGCGAAATCGCCTGGCAGGACACGTTGTGTGTGTGTGTGTGTGTGTGTGTGTGTGTGTGTGTGTGTGTGTGTGTGTGTGTGTGTGTGTGTGTGTGTGTGTGTGTGTGTGTGTGTGTGGTGTGTGTGTGTGGTGGTGTGTGTGTTGTGTGTGTGTGTGTGTGTGCGTGGGTGGGTGTGGTGTGGGGTGTGTGTGTGTGTGTGTGTGTGTGTGTGCGTGTGCGTGTGGCGTGTGCGTGTGCGTGTGCTGTGTGTATAATAACATATATATATATATACATTACATATATATAATATATATATATTGGGTGTGTGTATGGAGCCACCGTTACACCTTCACACCAGTCTCACCAAGAAGTCCACAAAAGTTAGCGTTATCAGCTTATGCATAGGGCCCCCCTACTGGCGCCACTATACTTACAACTAATCGCCGAGTGCCCCGGAAGTCGCTGGAGCTGCCAGGAGTATTGCGTTTTCCGGAGAACTTTCCACGCTAGTTCCCGCCAACTGACCATTTCCTTGACCCTGACGGCAAGGTAATCTGATTAGTAGGAGACAGGAGCCATCCTCAATACAACATGGGAGTCGTATCGGCTGGGCGAAGATGATCACTGATTATCCCAAATCCCATCGCTCGTTTATTGTCACGCTTTGTGAGGAGGCGTCCGAGACTGGCGTACTTTGCCAAATCAACCACGGTCCGAAACGAGTCCGTTACGAGGCCAAACTTAGCCTCCCGGCTGGATTTATCCCGCGCGTCTGCCTAGTGTCATATTCTTTTTTGAGGTAGGTCGAGCCGCAAAGCTGGAAAAGCAATAGAGGACGGCAGACCCACAAACAGCCATAAGGAGCTATTGATCTCAAAGACACATCAGCTGTTGTCTCGCTTTCATCCCGCGCGGATGGTCACACATTCATTCTCAATTGCGTTCTCATCTCATTCTCATTCCCGACCCACGGCGACGTAGCCCGCTGGCGGACCAGCGACAACTAGCACTGCGATCGAAGTGTGTGCATTGAACCTAATGTTACTTGATCACTTTCCTGAAACGGGAAAACATTCACAGGCCTCATCTTGTTTCGGGCATTAAGAATACGAATTACCAAAGTCATGGTGAAACCAAACAGTGTAATTGTGTTACGCTGATAAGGGCTAGGTGAGATTGCGCGAGCAGGTAATACTGCCGTCCATAGCCAAGAAGGCCTGAGCACTCTTTTACCTACAGGCCGCATAGGCCCCTTTGCCATTCGATGGCCGAATACGCCCATCCAACCATTCTCAAACTTTATGATGTTTTGCTGGTGGCATAGCAAGCAAATGACAAGGCCAAAACGTCCATTTTGGTAGCTCCGTTTCAGAGTCAATGATGCGCATAGCAAGATGGAAGTTTCCGATGAGGTGTTCACCCTCATACTCCCTTGAGCTTCCATTTTGTTTACTAGTGTATCAGAAGCAATTTCTCCCGCGAGGAACTTCACAGCTAACCGACTATATACCAGACACAAAATGGAAGTGCAGTTGGATCCCTTACGTGGATTGGGAGCTGAGCCCTACGGATAGCTACGCTACTCTCTACGGAGACTATGGGCGTATGTTGGAAGCATCATAAGCAGTTATATTTTATTCGCGCATCAATCAATGATTCGCGACCCGACTTATTCAGTTTTTGTGCACTGAATAGAAGTGTGGCTATGGGTGCGGATCTCACGCATGAGACGACTCCTATGCATTACATTGTCTAAAAAGTTTCCTGGCAGTCGATGGCAACTTCTCAGGCGTCTTCTCAGGCGTCACTGGAAATTGCCAGTCGTCGCTGGCACATGACAGTTCAGGTTCTCTTCGTGGCTGGTAAGTATTCATGCAGCGAAACCTTCCTGACAACGCACTTTGTATTCGACGCACAATTTGGCGGTGAGCTCCAACATATTCTGTGGATAAACCGACCAGACTAAACAAGTGCATCACGTAACTTATAAATATGCATGGGAAAGGGCACCGAGGACACCCATACGTCAGTTTCACATGACACTTGACATCCATCTCCGGCAGGCTCTGACGACGAAGAGCCTGTGACGTGTTAGCTAACTGTTGCTCTTGATAACCGCACTCATGCGCACGTCAAGGACGCAATGACAAAGAATCCGCAAAGACGCAACGAGAAACGGCCAAAATGAACGAAAACCACGTGACAGACGGCTCCTTCGTGGCCACGGCGCGTTAACGTAACACGACAAGCGCAAAGAGCGTCATTCAAATCAGCACCACGTATGTGGCGACTTTCGTAGCCCTCGGCGTACCATGCAGTGTGGTTCATCTACCAATCGACGTTTGTAGAGCAAACATCGCGAGCATTTTCGGTCCGCAATCGTCCTTGAGCTGTCGTTCAGCTGCGGTGTGACCATGACGAGACAGCACCACAAACAGCCCATGGTTATCACTCTCGAGACACACTGCACCACGGTCGTGAGCTTCGATCAGGCCGTTTCAAAAAACAGTCACCACGTTGGATAACATCACCAAGAATTCCAGAGATCGATGGTGTAAATCCCCGCTCAAGAACCCGGCTGGCCCGTCACCAAGCCAACTAACACTGTTCAGTTTGTTCTTGGCCACCGACCGTCGTCTCCTTACGCGGCTTCATTCCTGCTGAGCAGGATCGAGACCAGCACCGAACCTCACAGGTCATTCTGGGGTCACCAGCCACAGTCTGGCTTCGGACCGTTCCCGTTCCCCGGAAAACGAACGGAAGCGGATGTTCTTGAACTTGTGGCGAAGCTTGGCCTTCATGAATCCCTGTGAAATCGGGCGCACGTCAACGATAAACGCAGGGATTGCATGGTAGGTAGACCTGGAAATCCAGTGAAATGCCTACATAGGGTGAAAGTTATAAATATGATATACGGTGAAGCACATTCTAGAAAAAAACGTCTATCCAGCATAGCTACCCAAAAATGTCCAACACCCTTAAGAACACCAAAGGTTAAACGGAAGTGGTCCAGAAACAGCTTACCACCGCAGAGGACGCCGACATCCCAGCGAAGATGTGCGGGTACTGATCTATGATGAGATCACTCATCTTAGTGTACCACGTCCTTGGTTGTGGTGATCTGGAAAGACAGACCATAATTTCGTAGTCGAACGATTGTAGTGTTGGACAAAAAAAGACACGAGCAGCTCGTGCATCGAAGAATTGCTAGGGATATATGATTTTGTTGCATCTGTTTGACAGGTAGGCACATTATCGCCCATTTTTCTCTCACATGGCACAATTCACATGGTTGTATGGCACAAGAGACAGCATGGCTGGCATGTATGACATGATATACATGTGTACATATCAGATCGATAAAGTAAATCTTGAACGGCTGAAAATACTACATGAAAAAATATTGAGCGGTCTTCAATCTTTAAATGAGAGGTCATGAGCTTGAGTTTGAAAACGAGAACTTTAAAACAATATGTTTGGATTTATCAGGCGGTTATTTTAGCACTTTTTCGTTCACGCAGGTCATGCAGAAGAAAAGGAAGCAATAAACAAATTTCACATTTTTTCTTCAGAAACAAGATTGTTATCGATATCACACTTAGAGAAAAAAGTACTAGCTATGTTTTCGCTCGGGAAATGTGTATCTAACCAACTCCATTTATTGCGTCCCAAAGCCAACCACGAAAATCAAATACATAGATCGTTAGATAGGTCAAGAGATAGATACGTTGCGCAACAAACTGATTTAACAACGGGGCGCCTATCCACGGGTTGCGTTAGCCTTACGGGCATGCTACCAGGTCTCTTGTCTTCAAGTTGCATACTACTGAAGGCTAACTAAAAGACGAACCCCACTGAAACGCAGAGAACGAACACCAATACACTGTGAAGTTTTTATCAATGGCATTAATCGCTGCCGAGAACGTGACGCACCCAGAGTAGCGGGAAATGTAGTAGTCGGTAATGTTGGACACCAAGCAGTGCCAGTCGTGCTGTTGCAATGGCTCATGTGCCGCGAGCTTGCGGCGCAAAAGGACGCTGAACCAGTCCATATCAAGGCGCACCTCCCTGTGCAGAGTCAAAAGCCGTTAGCGGAGATGGATCCGATACCCAATGACACAAATCCTCACGGGAATAATCCTACCATTTCGAACGAATAGAGCAGGACTCGGCCACATATTACACTGCGTGCGCATGGAACTGCCATGCGGGAACTATCATCACAACCATACCACAAATTGTTAGAGAATGCAGAATTCCCCTCATCCTGGCAGTCGTTATAGGCCCCGCTATGTCTACACCACCAGCAAACTCGACATATATATCTAGCACCGGCCCAGTGAAACCCCGCATACACATTCGCCATCACTAGAGCTGTTAAGGCGGATATCCAATATTGATCTGTAACGCACAAACCATATTTTCCAGAGAGAAAGTGAACCAGCTGCAGTCATGACTGTACTGTGAGTTCACTGTTTTTCTCTAGGACAACGGAATTTTAGGAGCTTGACTATGAAGAACCACTCACCAATCCTCGCCTCCTCTATGAGCTGCCACGTTGCTCCGTGAAGCTACTAGTCTGCGAAGGTCAGCATAAGAGATCTCAATTTGTTGCGAAAATTGCATCATGAACATTTGCGTGGGCAGACGGTAATACCAACGCAGCAGAGTCCCATGACAACATAGTATAACACAATAGTGTAAGCTACAACATAGTATAACCTCGGTATAACATCTGCGGCAGTTGTAGCATCTTTGCATTGGAAAATAACACAGAGGAAGGGTTAACCGAAATCATGGACCACAATCGTCTTGCTTGGCAACTTGAGCAACACACGTCGCTTACTTCTATAGGCGAATGTTCGCTAACATGCCGCTCATTATTACTACCAGCACGGTGCTGCAATCGGTCATCACCCGTCTGAGCGGAAATCTCTTGGTGCGTTTTGCGGCTGTCCAGGACGCTGAGTGCCGTACGAGGATATCAACAGTCGGGAGGTCCGCTGGGTCCTTCCAGCTGGAAGACACATGCGTGGAAGTAAGGTTAGCGGCGGTCACCGCAGACATCCATCGCAGAAGTCAACATCAACTCCGCTGAAGCCACACACTACAAACCACTGAAACTTCGCCAGGG